CTGTCAACAGAGGTTTTAAATTCAAAGGCTTAATGACATAGTTCAAATAGTTTGTTAATAAGGGGATAAATATAACCAGACTAATAGGTGCTCATGGTTAGACATTTACTGCTTTGAGACATCTGGAGCACACAGTGGTTGATTCTAAATTTTAGTAATTTAAGGTTTGTGCAGATTCAGAACTTCAGGATAAAGGAGAATGCTTTGAAATGAAGCTGTCTCAGTTTTGGATGGTTTATACCTTTATAAATAGAAGTAGTATAGATCTGCAGGAGTGCCAGTTTTCCTAGATTGATATGTGTTCTTTTGTCTTTGGCACAGATAAATACTCTTGGAGATAAAAATCCAGTAACTAACCTCGTCATTAATCTGGATGAAGTAGATCCTGATGTTGCCTATTCATCCGTGCCATATGAGAAAGGCTTTGCTTTGCTTTTTTACCTTGAACAGCTCCTTGGAGGACCAGGTAAGCATTAGTCAGATTTTATATGGTTTTTTTTTCCACCTTAATTTCAAACACTAAAATATTTTCTTCTTTGTTAGATGTCTTCATTGGCTTCTTGAAGGCTTATGTTCAGAAGTTTGCTTATAAAAGCATTGTAACGGAGGACTGGAAAAAGTTCTTGTACTCTTACTTCAAGGATAAGGTTGGGTAATATTTAAAACTGATTGCATTAAATCCTTTAATTATGTGAAATTCTGACTTAGGTCAGAACTTATTTAAAGACCAGTTCTTTATATTTCTTTATTTCAAGAACTTAATGTGATGTAATCTGGGATTTTATGAAGATGAGTTTGCATTATGATGCCTTTTAATTTTTTTTTTTTTTCATAGAGGGGATTGCTTTGCTTTGAAGTAATCTGTGTAGGATTCTTCAGGGTAATTGGAAGAATGTTATCAAAACAAATAAAAAGATTGAAACTAGATTTCATTTTCTCAAAAAAAAAATCCTAAAATGAGATTTAAAATTTAATAAGGTTTTGTGTTTCTTTGTAGGTAGATATTCTTGATAAAGTTGACTGGAACTCATGGTTTCATGCTCCAGGAATGCCACCAGTGAAGCCTACGTAAGCTGCACTCTTCTGTAGTTCAACTTTTCCTTCTCCAGGTTGCGTGTGATTTTCCTAACAGTCATGATGCAGTTTATAAACAGGGTGAAAGTCTTAAAAATGTTTAATTGGAAAATGCCCTAGTACTATGTAGGTGTATATAGGAGTAAAAATAGTCACTCTTAATGTTTTCAGTATTTTATTCTGTGGTTGTTTCATTATGTGATCCTTTGTTTTCAATATTTGACAGGTATGATATGACACTATCAAATGCTTGCATTGCCTTGAGCCAAAGATGGATCCAAGTGAGTGGTTAAAGAATGCTGAAGTGTCCCTGTCTTGAAAAGCTAATATTTTTTGTTACACAAAGAGAGCTGTTCTTTTCTGAAATCTCTCATTTGTTGTGAGTGTGTGTATTTATAGTCACAGTATGGCTGCCATGGATTTTGCATTTCCTAGAATAGCTCTTCATTGTAGAGTCAAGGGATTAGCTGTGAGGTCTGTCTGTGAAGTGCAGTCCATATTTTAACAAGGTACAGAGCCAACTTCTTGTTATACATATGTAGTAACCAAACAGAAAATACTATTTTTGAAACCCTGATATTATGGCTTGATTTAAAAACAAATGCCAGGGTACTTCTGCATTATTGATTATTGTATTAGCAGTAGTTCCTCTATGATATACTGGATTTGGTATGTATTTCCCATCAAAAACAGGTATGTAAAGTATATTAATTAATACCACATAATTTTCTCCTAGTTTGAAGCATAGAAGTCATACAACTAATAGAGAATTCAGCATACCCTCCTTTTGTTACCTCTGTAGTGTTCACGATACTTGCATCCTATCTTTTATCTTTCTTTTTCTGAATGTTAATTTTTATAAAAAAGTATTTGATTTTTCACTTAACTAACAGAAAGACAGTGGTGATAAAAAGATCAGTGAAGAGAAGTGAAGAGTACAAACATCAGCAGCTTAAGTCCCTCCTTTCCCCTTATTGTAACATCCTGCACAGATACAAATCAGTATCTTCTTTAAGTGAAATGACTCAACAGTGTTTATATCAAAACAAAAAATTACACCTGATTGTATTTTGAAATACCTATTAAAAATAAGAAACTGCTCTCTTTTAGGCAAAAGAAAGTGATTTGAGCTCATTCAGCTCAGCAGACCTGAAGGAAATGTCATCTCATCAGTTAATTGAGTTCCTGGCACTGTTGCTTCTGGAGGTAAAAGCACACCTGTGATTACTTGATTCTGATATCATAAAAGCAGGCATAGAAGCTCTACTGTGCATTGAAATAAAGTTACTATTTTTCTTTTATGTTTTGCTAAATTAATCTGCTCCCACCATGCATAGTTATTGAAAACTTCAGCCTTGCCTCCCTTATTATGTCTGGCTCTTCAGCTAATAAACAACAAAGTATTTTGGTTTCAAAGCTAAAAACAAAACCATGAGGTGTTTGAATCAGTCTATACCAGATGTTATAGCAAATGAGCTATCAATAAAATTGAGTAAGAATACTTTGTCCTGAATGTTTCAATAGTGCAGAATGTGGGAATTAGGTAATATTTATTCCTTGCCCCTTTCCATACACTGAAAAGATAAAAGGAACAAATAAAATATTTGTCATGGTAGGACTTCAGTTTCTTTGTAGCATCAATCTTCTTGAATTAGTCTGTTTATTATTGAAATATCTGGCTTTAAGTCTTCCTCTGGCTTATTCTGACCGTGCAATCTCTTTTTCAGGCACCTCTTCCATTGTCACATGTCCAACGCATGCAGGAAGTATACAACTTCAATGCTATAAACAACTCTGAAATAAGATTCAGGTTTGTTCTAGCATGGGCACTTTTGAAATATTAAACGTTTTCATAAAACAAGTTGTCCTACTTCACCTGAGATATCCTGTTTTACAGAACTGGGGCAGGGTTTGGGTTTGGGGTTTTTGTTCTTGTGGTTTTGTAAATGCATGTGCAGGCATCATTGCTTACTAGAATGGTATGCTGTTATTCATGAATTAGGCAAATACAGTCTAGTAGAATAACTCAGTGGACGGTAGATAAGCTGTTCTTTATTTTACTGGCATGCTAGCAAAAGAACCTGATGACCTGATAACAAAGTATTTTAAACATATTGTATGGTTTCTACTTCTTGTAACAAGATCAATTTATTTTTAAAACAAAAAAACATATGCACCCATGGTGACATTTCATTTGGTTGGTTGGTTGTTTAATCCATTGGTCAAATGGGACAAGTGCTGTGTAATTCAGTTCTGAGTGATGCAGCTGGACACTATTGTAATATAAAAAAATACATAGCTGCAGAAAATAATCCTCCATTTTGGAGGAACGTGAATGCAATCTTCTCCTGTTGTACAAAAAAGTTGATGTATGTAATGTGCTAGTCAAACACTAAATATTTTATGTTCAGCTAGAATCTCATTCCCATGATACACAGCAGTACTCAAAGCATTTATGGGAACAGAATCGTTAGATAACCGACCACCACACTACCACAAATGAAATTATAAGTGCAAATTTTTTCTTCCACCTCCAGATGGCTGCGCCTCTGTATCAGGTCGAAATGGGAAGAAGCTATTCCTCTGGCTTTAAAAATGGCAACAGATCAGGGCAGGATGAAGTTTACTCGACCATTGTTCAGGTAAAGTAATCTCCAAATTTCAGGAGCTCATGCTGTTGGCATTTCTAGTATAATGGAATGTATAATACTTGAAATGCATTTGTTGTACATGTTCAAGTGGCCTATTACAGAATTCTCTGTGTACTGTGAACAAGCTTATCTTCAGAGGCTCTTTCCACTTGCTGACATTTTTTTGCATAGAAGAAACCTTAGTCCCAGGATGCACATTAAGGCAAGGCTTTTGAGGGAAAAGTGAATTATTAGAAAAATCTGTGTTGTATTATTTTCCTGGATTTTTGTAATGGTGCCCCCTCCTACTCCTTCTTTTACAGGGACCTTTACAATTTTGACAAGAGTCGAGATCTGGCTGTCCAGACATTTCTGGAGCATAGAGCCTCTATGCACCCCGTCACTTCGATGCTTGTGGGCAAAGACTTGAAGCAGGACCAGTGACAAATGTACTTATTTCTTTGAGATTTTTGTGTTTCTGAAAGAAGAGACTGATTACCCAAACTGTTGATATACATGCTTGATTATGCCATAAAATGCTCTCTGCTGCTTTGGTACTTATATAACTAAAAATTAATTTTCCAAATCAAGTTCAGTACTGTTGCAGTAGATAGCACTGCCAGCAGACTCCAGCTACTCTCAGACTCTGACTGCAGGCTTCCCTCATAGACTCTGATGCCAGCAGCTCCAAAAGCAGCCCCTCACAGCAGGGCCAACAAAAAAACTCTACCCTTTCTGTCTTGCTCCTTTTCTGTCTCCCCCTCGACCAGCTAACCTACTCTTTTGTAACACCCATCCTCATTGGATACAACTGTGTCCCACTAAGGGCAAGGCAGTTCCTCCTCTTTGATAATTAGCACAGCTGTAATTCATCACGGGCAAGGTTGCTTGCAATCCATTCTCCTACACTTTCTGTTTTGCATTTCCAACTAAGCAGCAAAAATACTACATCTCTGGAATTGAGAGAATGTTTTCATTACAAGCAATTTTTAGAATACACAAAAACTGTTCTGAGATGTAGTCATTTGTCAGTGATAGAATTGAAGAACTTGGAAAATTATTGGTGGATGGTATGGCTCTTTGTGCACAGCATTCTTTTCCATAGCACAGTGGTTGAAACTTCAAGTACCTAAAGAATAAAAAATAAATCTTTTCATTCCCTACTTGGCTGTCTTGTCTGTATATTGATATGTAAAAAAGTTTTGATTTAATAGTTTTATTTATTCATCTTTGTTGTGGGAGAAATTTTTATCATGAGTCCAAGAGGACAATGAAGGCCAAATGTTTTTTCAACCCACTATTTATTTTCAAAACTTATTATTGTAGGGGGGCTAAAGCCCAAGTCTTTCCTTATCCGGTTTGATTATTTTAATATTTGGATTTTTCAGCTAGTTCTGGGCACTACCCCTCGTGCTCATATAACAACTGGAGATAAGTTCAAAAATAATGGGAGAGCTGTTTTTCCTGTATTTGTTACAGCAGTTCCAGCCAATGGTTTACATGATCCTGTGGCAAATGCTGCCATCTCTAGGCTGAGTCTTGCAGCGAGTTTGATAACAACAGTTTGCATAAATTAAATCTGTTGGTATAGGGATAACCCATATCAAGGAGTGACAAACAAAACCTGCTGGTTTAGGGGAGGAGAGTGGCAATATAATTGTGGCAAAAGGTTTGGTTTAATCCTAGCATTTAGGATGAGAGGGGAGCCTGTCAGCTGATTTCCTTCTGAGTTTTGATCCGTATAAGCTTTCAACTTGTGGTTTAAACCCAGGTAGTAAGTAATCCCCACGCAGCTGCTTACTCTCCCCCATAGGATGGCATGGGGGAGAGAATTGGAAGAGTAAGATTGAGAAAACTCATGCATTGAGATAAAGAAAGACAGTTTAACAGATGAAGCAAAAGCTGCACACACAGGCAAAGCCAAACAAGGAATCAATTCAGTGCTTCCCACAGGCAGGCAGGTGTTCAGCCATCTCCAGGAGAGCAGGGTTACTCAGGGAGACAAATGCCATCACCCCAAAAGTCCCCCTGCTTCTTCCTTCCTCCAGCTCCATATGTGATCATGAGCTCTGGTCAGAGGAGGGCATATATCATATTAACAAGCTCTTGTTTGAGTTATCAGACTGCAATGAAAACTGTCCTTTGTTTATAAATGCCTTATGTCACTAGTTTTGGGGTAACTTGCATTTTGTTGTAAAAGCCTATTTATCATATACAATGCTTTGGTAGTTAGAGTTCCTGCTGCCAGTTAATCCTGGTTTCTTGCTGTCAGAGTCAGAAAAAAGAAAATTGTGGCAGACATGGTTTTCTCTACCATGGTCCTAGGTAGCTCTGCTGGGACAGTGTCTCTGACTAATGGATCCCAAGATAGCATTCCTACAATTATTAAACCCTAGGTAGTCCCTTTGTTTAGGAACACTAGTGTGGCAAGCATGGACTGTGAGTGTTGTTACCATTTTGCCTTTAAAACCAGAGGTATTTTCAAATTCTGTGTGTACATGATTATTGCTAAACTTTTTTTTTGTCACCATCTCAACAGCTATCTCCATATCTTTTCCTCTTTGCATCTTCTGCCTGGAAGGAAGCATGACACAGCACCAGGCTTGATAGTGTGCAGCTGTGGCCTAGTATTCGTTGATACCTGTTCTTGTAACACCTTCCAGAGCATAAAGGAAAAGGTTGTAGAAATTAATTAATCTTTTTCTTATCTACAATAAAAACATGTTTTCAACTTGAGCATGGGACTGATTAAAGTAGGCTTGCTGCCTCTACTAACTGCTTTTATCCTGTTTTGGATAGAGCTGTAAAAGTATAATACAATCTTCTTTCAGTCCTAGCAGCCATGAACAACCAACCCATATTCCCAAGGTACCTCTCTTGCAGCCCTGTCCCTCAGTTTTTGTTAGTGTGATTTACTGCTGGGCAATAGCTGTTAACTCTTGTTAAACCCTTACATTTTTAGAGCAGTTGCACTGCATCTTAGTCTGATTTATCTTTCCTGGTACATAAGCTTCAGCTCCTGGTTTTTCATTTCTATTTTCCTGATGTGATCTTTGGAATAAAATTCCTGTGGCAATAGCTGGGAATGTGTGCCATTTCTGGGAAAAGGGTGTGTTCCCTGGGTTCGGTTTGATTGGATGAAATAGCCAAACACGTTGATCTCGTTTATTTACAAAGGTAAGGATTTTGAGGGTGGGTTTTTGCCTCTATCCGATTGCAACACTGGGCTCTAGATTAGGCACAGCTCTTCAGGCCATCATCACATGGTAAATGTGAGGCTGCTGCATGCTGCAGCCCTTCTTGGTCAAGGAACAATTTTTGGAGAGAAATCATGCCAAGGTACACGGTGCACATCCGAGGAGAATGGCTGGCAGTGCCGTGCCTAAGCTCCACAAACACCGTTGAGTGGCTGGGAAAGGAAGCTGTGAGACGGTACATGAAAAACAAACCTGACAATGGGGGATTTACCTCAGCAGAAGAAGTAAAGTTTTACATTCGAAGGTGCAAGGGACTCGGCTTGCTGGATCTTGATGATACTGTGGGGGATGCTCTAGAAGACAATGAATTTGTTGAAGTTGGTAAGCAAAGCCTTAAGTATTGCATTGTAGAGTGACTGTATTGTCATCTGAGTCAGAAAACTGTGGCTTTATCTAGATTCATCTAAAATTGCATCTGAGAGATTGTCTACAGTTTTTATGGAAAAATGCCCAATAATTTAAGAATATTTAATTTTTAGGAACAGAGCTACATAAAAGCTAGAAGGTACAATATTCTATATACATCTTCTGTAGCTGCTGTCATATACAGTGTAAGCTGTTCTGTCTTAGTTTTGGAATATCTTAAATACATAGTTTCTTGTTATTTTCTCAGAAGCATGCAAGTATGTTCAGGGCTGATAATTGGAAATTAGGATTTTTATTGCTCTGAATTGTAATAAATAACAAATTAACTTATGCGAATAATGCAATTTAATACTGTACATGTTTATTCTGCATACTTCTTCTAGTTATAGAAGGAGATATAATGTCTCCAGATTTCATACCATCTCAGCCAGAAGGAGTTCATTTGTATCCTTTTTGAGTATTTTGTGAAGTTTTTACAATTACAGATTTATAATTTTCTAGATTGCCTGTGTTTTTTGAGTTCCTTCATTCTTAAAACACATTGCCAGCTGTAACTGAGTGGTCACTGCCTGTGAAATCCTGTCTGCCCTTTTTCCTTTACAAAACTTTCAGATACAGTAAATACCGAGAACCAGAACAGGTAAGTATCCAGTGATTTTACAACTCAATAACAAATCCTGCTACTCACCAGAAAATGCTGAGAGTTCAGCCAGTGCAGCATTCGCAAAAGCAGGGGCTATTAGATTGGCTGGGTCTAGGAAACTGAACTACAATGTGCTCATTATGTTTTTGTTACCCGGGTTCCTGTCTTATGAATAAGCATGAAGAAGCTTCCTGTCATTGCTAGTTGTGACTATATTTTTTATTTATAGTTATTATTAAGCAACTTCATATGTATCCATATCCCAAACTAAAAGGTGGTTCTTTGGTGTAGTATATTTCTTTAGATGGCAACAGCTTAACAACGGAGGACTTGGTCAATTTAGGAAAGGGACTCTACAAGATAAAGGTAAAAATTCTGAACAAATGAAGATAAAAATTACATGTTTATTTTTGTACAGCTAAATAATGACAAATAAGCTAATATTTAAAGTACTTATGTTTTAGCTTACACCTGAAGCTGAAATTAAAGTCAAAAAATCACGAGAAGTGATTGAAAGGATTGTAAAGGAACAGACAGGTAAATATTTTTGCTTTTAAATATGAATTGTTTAGAAGACTTCATCAGGTTCCCTCCTTAACCAGCAGTGTACATTTCTTGCAGTTGTTTATGGAATCACCACGGGTTTTGGAAAGTTTGCCAGGACTGTCATCCCAAACAGTAATCTGAGGTATGTTGTGTGTGCAGCCTTCTCCATCCTTTCTTTTCAGGAAAGGAAGAAGAGGGAGCAGTTTGACCCTGTAGTTGGGGTTAAATGAGAGAACTGCTTCAGAAATTCCTTCTGTTTTGTGCAAAATAAAACCTGATGAGACTTTTTTTGAGGTTTAATATATTTTCTTTTTCTCTGTAGGGAGCTTCAAGTGAACTTGGTTCGTTCACATTCTGCAGGTAATGAGATTAATGTTTCCCTTGTGTTTGGTGTTCACATTCTGCAGGTAAATGCTTGGTGTTTCCCTTTTCTGCACTTGTTGGTAGTGAGTGAGTAACCGAGAGGGTTTTGTTACTGTTTCAGGTGTGGGTAAACCTTTGACCCCAGAGAGAACTCGCATGCTGTTGGCACTGAGAATCAATGTCCTAGCCAAAGGATACAGTGGAATATCCCTAGAAACCCTCGAGCAAGTTATTGAAGTGTTTAATGGTAAAAATATGCTTAAAGAAAATCTTCATTTCCCCTTTTTTCCCTTTTAACTTTGTTAAAGGGTGTAGCTCAATGGGTCAAAATGCAGATGTTGGTCTTTCAACTTGGTAGTTGTGAGAGACCAGGACTAGAGCTGCAACAAGAGTAGTCCTGTTGCTGCCATTGTCCATGATTGTAGGCTGCTACTGTGGCCAAACTTATGAGCTAGCTTTTCTGTTTTCCAAGGAATTTATCAAGGGAAGGCACTAAAAGGAGTGATTTTTGTTTTCTTTCTAGCATCCTGCCTTCCTTATATCCCAGAGAAAGGGACAGTTGGAGCCAGCGGAGACTTGGCCCCTCTCTCTCATCTTGCTCTGGGATTAATTGGAGAGGGAAAGATGTGGTCGCCAAAGAGTGGCTGGGCTGATGCTAAATATGTAAGACCTGTGCAGCTGATAGTTTATTTTTTTTAGCTTGCTGACTCATTTTTCAAATTGCATGTAGCTGTGAGAGAAAGAGAGCTTTTGCTCAGAGTAGTAACATGTCTTTGGATTTTCTCTACCAGTTTGAATTTGGACTGGGTTGCCTTTAGCTAATCATCCTCTAATTTGAGGAGGGTGGGTCCCTGGAGAATGCAAGAACTGACCCACATGTCACTGGAGCAGACATAAATAAGCAGCATGTTATTGAGCCCTAAAGAAATATCATGCCATAGTACTGCTATGCAAGATACTACAGTGACATAATTTATGAACATGAGAAATGGAGAGGATATGATACCAACTATGAGCGAACTATTATTGTATCTTCAGCTCCATGAGCATAAATATTTTTCTAAAAAGTCCAAGATCACCTCTCAAATGCTGAGTGTACCTGGAGATTTACTGGAGGCAAGATCTTTGCAGTAAAATTTCTACTGATTTTATAGTGGCTTTAAGTAAATACACAGGTTTGGATATTTCAGTTTTGATGAATTAACTAGGGTTACAAGGAGCCTTTATATCATTCTCCTTCACAAGATGGAAATGTTACAATGAAATTAGTTTTTAATCTATTGTTATTCTGCCACCAACACATCACCAGATTGATCTTGTGTTAAGTATCTCCAAGTCCGGCCCCTCCAAAGTCTTTCATGGTAGTTTGTTCTTCTACACCTATAATTCCTATCCATGAGTATTTGAACACCAGGCTCATTGATGGATTGATACATGTACATCACTATAGTCTGGAGAAAGATTGAGGACTACACAGGGAGAGGAGGAAGGAGGAAGCAGACCAGGGTGTCCTGGACCTTCAAGATCAAAAGTTACAGCTGTACACTTCTGAGATGCATTGCCTCTTCCATTGGACAGGGTGAGAGGATTAAATAAGAAATAGGTTATGCTGTTTCTTCACTTCCTGCAAGAGAATTGCCCTATAGAATAGACATGTACAGAATAAACTGGATGGGACTCCTCCTGTCATTAGAGATTTTCTATAGAAAGTATTAGGGATCATTTAAAAAGGAATAATTTATGCCGAGCCAAAATTCTATGAGGCACGGTGTAGGTAGAACTGCCTTCCCAAAAGGCTTCCAGCCTTCTTTCCTATTGCCCTCTCCCATCATCTAGAACATGGTAGATGTTAAGGGCTGTGACAGTGACATATATCTTGCTACAGTATTCCTGCTACCTTCTTGTATTGGCACTAGAAGTGAGGTGCTAGTTTGGAAACTCTTTATTTAGCCCAGCAGAAAAAAATATCTGATATGTTTGTGATATAAATCTCTTCTTCTTCCATCACTTAAGAAATTTGTTAATATTTCTGTTCATGGAAACATTCAAGTTTTAGTGACTTAATTTTGTGACTTTAGTGACCAAAAAGTATTTTTCATTAACTGCCTTGGCATTTAACTCCTTCACAGGTCCTGGAAGCCCATGGACTAAAACCAATTACCTTGAAACCAAAAGAGGTAATAAAGTATAATGATGCCAGCTGATGAAAAAGAGCATAATAAATCACTATTTGCTTTATATGTACAATAAAAGCATTACATTAGTTAATAATAATTTTAAATCAAACTTTAGAAAGATAATGGCAGTGTTGTCAGGAGTGGGATTCACCACTCCTAGTGTCACCCTACTTGACTTGAAGTGACAGACCCAAGCTTGATGTTCAGATTGGCTCTGTGGTCAGTGGGGACACAGGCCTCTTCATAAAGCACTTTATACCATCCTGAAACAGCTGTCTAAGAGGCACCTTCAAGGTACCTATCTGCTCTTTGGCCTTAACAGGAGGTCAGGTGACTGACTTGAAGCAGGTATCTGACTGGTGCTCCAAGGATGTCTGCAGTGACTTAATGGGGTCATGAGTATTAACACTTTATGCAGCAAAGATGCTCAGTCAAGCTGTGCATTTTATGATTTTAGGATGGTCCAAAAACCTAGGCAAAGATCTTTAACTCCTTCATATGAGAAGGAGAATTGCCACAGATATGGGGAATTGTCACAGAGTGTGGAATAGCTGCAATGAATTTGCTTAACATCTGCTCTCCCTTTGAAGGGTCTGGCCCTCATCAACGGGACACAAATGATCACCTCGCTGGGATGTGAGGCAGTTGAAAGAGCCGAAGCTATAGCAAGGCAAGCTGACATCATTGCTGCGCTTACACTGGAAGTCCTGAAGGGTACAACGAGGGCCTTTGACACTGGTGGGTACTGGGCCCTCCCTGTCTGTTTGCTTAACAGCTCCTGACAAGAGAGGCACAGCCTGACAGTCTAACTTGTCTTACTAGATATCCATGCAGTGCGCCCACATCGAGGGCAGGCTGAAGTGGCCTTTCGGTTCAGGTCCCTTCTTGATTCTGACCATCATCCATCAGAAATAGCAGGTGAACGATCTTAACCTTCACCATCTCGGGTTACCAGGACAGGCTGGGTCCTTCAACAGCACACAGTGCTTTTGTGTAAGCAATATTTGGGTTTTGCCCTCCTTGTGTCTTCTAGAGAGCCATAGATTCTGTGACCGAGTCCAGGATGCGTACACAATGCGCTGCTGCCCTCAGGTAAAGACTGACTTTTAGATCCTTCTGTAACACCTCAGAAATACAGTCAGTTATGTGCTGTCTGACACTGTTAGAGGAAGTGGCTTTATTTTGCTTCTTCTTCACTTCACAGTAGTGTTAATGGGGACATGCAATTTGTTGATCATGTGCATGTACACATCAGGCAGCATCTAACGAAGCTGTGTCCAGATCTGGAAGTGGCCAGAGGTTGGAAGCAGAGGGAAAGTGCTGGTTTCCATACGTGCAAATTTGTAGGGATTTTCTTCTGCATTAGTGTTAATAACATGAATTGGGTGTTTCCAAAAGCCAACAGAATGTAATATCTCAGACATATTGGAAGAGCTCAATCCTATGCGTTTTAACAGGAGCAAAGCTATTAAATCAGTAGAATTAATGGGAGATTAACTAATAAGAGGTTTTGTTTTCTGTGAGTCTTTGTAAGGCTACTTCTTCCCTCATAACATTTCTGCCACTGAATAAATACCTTCCATTTAGGTAAACCAACCCAAATATGTAAAGAATGTCATATTCAGATTACTCTTTTGGCAAAACTGCCATAATAGTAAATACCATATTTGAAGTGTCTAGGATTGGCAGTGATGCTCCTGCTGTTAAAAGCAAATCCAAGACAGTCTTCCACTTGTGAAAGTCAAGTGGGATAGTGGGAAAGAGGGTCCTTGCAGCGCAGTCAGCATCCTGAAGGTGAACTAAGTGCAGATACTACGCTCAGACACCAATGTTGTTTGTTCTAGGTCCATGGAATTGTAAATGATACAATTGCTTTTGTGAAGGACATAATAACAACGGAAATCAATAGCGCCACGGACAACCCTGTATCTTTTTGATTACTTTATTACTATATAAAATTCTGCTTGGCCTTTTTTATTCTTTTCTTCTGTATAGTTACTCACACTGGAGGCAAAAAAAGTCATAACTGGCTTTGGTCAATAACTGCCATTGTTTGCAACAGCAACCTCTCTTCCTTTCCCTATGACCGCATTGAAGGATTTCTGTGTGCTCTGTCATGCAGGGCTGTATTTCTGTCAGCACTATAATGATGCTGTACATAGCATCATATCAATTGCTCATAAGCATTATTGCATCTAATCTTCTGAACATATTTTTACCATTAATTAGAATATAATCCAATTCTTCTAATTGGAATTAGTCTTTGTAATTTGGACTAATTAAGTGCCAAAATTGTAATTGTCATGGAAAGAATCTATCAAGGAATTGAAAATCTATACTAGGATCTGAATGGCTGGGGTTTTTTCACCCTAGATCAAAGACCTCCCTTTATGTAGCTTATTTGAAAAAAATACATGTCAAAATTGTACCTACAAATTTGAAGAACTGAGATTGTGTCTTCATTTCCTGAAAAGTAGAAGTGTGGGTGCAATAGAATGTGCTTGCAAATAAAAGCCTATTGGCACAAAGACTCCTTCAGTTAAGATTCTGATTACTGGTAGATATCACTCATGTAAACTGTATTTCACTCATGTGGGCCTTAACGTCTCCTTAAAGATGGTGTTTGCTGAAAGAGAAGAAACCATTTCTGGAGGAAATTTTCATGGTGAATATCCTGCAAAGGTAATTCAGCATTGACAAAAGGGGAAAAAAACTTTTTCTGGTTTGTTTTTTTTGTCATCTGATTTAATGAGATCTTCTTCTGTAGGCTCTGGACTATTTAGCAATTGGTGTGCATGAACTCGCTGCAATTAGTGAAAGAAGAATTGAGAGGCTCTGCAACCCCTCGCTCAGTGAACTGCCTGCATTTTTAGTCACTGAAGGAGGTCTGAACTCAGGATTCATGATTGCACACTGCACAGCAGCTGCCCTGGGTGAGTGCTTGAGCAATACCATAGAGAGAGCAAGCTAGAAAGACTGATTTTTTTTTTTCAAGATAGATGCAGTCTGATAGCAGGCATAAAGGCTGCTGTTTTCTGTCTCTTCTCCATGTGTTCTGTGCTGTCTTGTCAAGTATGAGTGTTGGGTGTAGCTGCAATTATTTCAGTTCAGGCTTCCTTATTCTGCACCAACCCTTGGGCATGTTCAGTGCTCTGAGCATGCAAACTCTGAGTGGATTTTGGTATGAAGGCTTGTCTCAGAGGTGGCCTGATACCCTCAATACTGGGCTATCTCTATTTGACAGCCTGGTCTGCACATCAGAATCAGACCCCACAGTCCCCACAAGACCAGCGTTCCCAGGGCTGGCTATTGGGGGAGCACATTGAAATTAAATATCACTTCAGTTTTTTCTCTAATACTCATGGCTAAGGCAACAAGAAGCCTGTTGGCTTCTGGCATACTACAGTTCATAGGTTCAGGGAAGCATGAGCCAATATGAAGATAAACATGCTATGAGAAGAGCGTAGATTTTAAAAGTTACAAAAACACAGGAACAGAGGATATCAGTTAAATTGTAGATAAGCATTCTGCAGAGAAACAAATATATTAACTAAATCAGTGGGCTAAAGGAACCCTGTCTAGAGGCTGGGAAGTGGGTCTGGAAGAGAGCTGAATGCTCATCACCTTGTTTAAAGGCTGGCAGTTTTACCTTTGGCTGGGGAGAGTTTAGGATGACTCCAGGCTTCAGCTGGTTGCATGGCTTCAGGTTTCACTGCACACTTCTGCAATCTGGAGTAACAGATTCTGGGGTGTTTGTGATTTCTGCTGTGGGAAATGAAAATTACAGCCGTGCCTCTACTGACACTAGAAGTCCATGGGTCAAAATCATCTCAAGCTGATCAAAACAGCCAGGATTTTATCTGAATTTTTATCTAAAGTTTGAGTTCCTTTTCCTGTTCTTAACTTCTTTGTTAATCACCAATATTTTTCAAATCATTCTACCAGTTTCTGGTTTGTTTGTACCAGCTAATGTTTTTCACTCCCAGGGTTAATAGATAAAACTGAAAAAAATTTGCAGGTATTTTGCAACACCACTGGAGGTGTCTGCCTGCCCGCACTCCAGCAGCTCTGTGCCTGCCAGACCAAGCTGTTAGCAGTGATCACATGCAGCCTCTCTGGGACCTGCCATCATCTGCCTGAATGTGCCAGCTGGGCTCTGGTCCTAGACTGTCACTCCAGCCTATTTGCAATTGGTGTCACCACCTCTCTGTTGCTCCTGTTGCTTTTCTGAAGCCGCTAATTTGCCGAGAGCATTACACAGCATCCTGCTGGGTTTCAGAAAGAAAAGGCCAAGTACAGCCAGGGTGCTGTGAATGCAGACTTCATTTTTTCTCTTTTAAAGAGCAGTTCTCAACCTCAGATTGTCATTGAATGGTTCCTAAGGCCTCTCCTGTAACCATTTGCCTGTTGCTTTTGGATGCAGAATGAGAATTTACTCCAGACCTTGCACCTGCCTTTCAAAGCTGGAGTATGTCAGTGAGTAGTGAGGTGAGGGAGAGAGAGGGTTTGTATTGCATTCCTCCATCTTTCTAGAGGAAGTTCTGAAAGTGCCTCAGCTGCAATAAGCGGACCAGATGCTGATCTCTAGCTGTATTCTTGAAAGCAGGGGAGGAGTGATCTTTGTGACTAAAACCAGAGGGAGCCAATGCTCTTTACAGAGAATTGCCCCAGAGCAACAGGCAGAACCAGGTTTGTGTTTCAGTTATGCTGTCTGCTCTTCTTCTTCAGTTTCCTCCAGTCCTTTGAGCCATAGCAACTCAAACTGGCGATAAGGGAGTGAAGAGTGAGCTGTCGTTCTGTATTTGGTTAACATTTGCATCTAAAGACTGCTGTTGGTTAGTGTTTTCAGAGGCAATGGTAGTTTTCAAGGTGGTTATTACAAATTACTCAGTCTAGGTAAAATGCTGATGTGTCCTTGAAAAAGGAGCAGTAGTTGGACCCAAGGTGATGGACAGGCTCTTATCTACATGTTGTCCATTGCTTGTGCTGTCTCATGCCTATTCTGTCCTTCATTCATTGTGTTGGGTTTTTGCAGTGTCTGAGAACAAAGCCTTGTGCCACCCCTCTTCTGTGGATTCTCTCTCAACCAGTGCTGCTACAGAGGATCACGTGTCTATGGGAGGATGGGCTGCAAGAAAAGCTTTGAGAGTTATTGAACATGTGGAACAAGGTAAAATTAAAATTCTGATTTCCAGACAGACCTTGAATCATGAAAAGGGGGGGCTAATACAAATAATGATAAGGTGTAAGGTAGGCAGATACAATGCAAACTTCTCCAGACAGAAGACTCTCTTCCAAAGCACTGTGATTTTCCTGGTGTTTTCATGTGGGCTCTGGCAAGCTTCAGAGGAAGAACTTTCATTTTTAGCTCAGGCTCCTCTTTTCTTTATGATGGACATTAATTTGAGTATTCAAGTTACACTGGAAGAGATTCCTAGGGATTTAAGACTCTGGTGACCAGGAGTTCCTGGTACACTTGAAAGGTCTGTACAGCAAAAATCTGCTTGGTGAAATGCTGGATACTGCCCCCAGCATCACCCATGAAATGATCCTGCCACTGGGCTAGGTCTCTGGAGGGTATGGATCCACTGGTTTTGCACATTGCCTGAACCGTATCGTATTAGTGAAAACAAAGGCCAGGAAGAGCTTTAGACAGGAAACCTCACCTTGAGCTGTACCTGCCAAACATCTCTTTGGCTGCTCTGGTTTCCTAGTTCTAGCTATTGAGCTGCTCGCTGCCTGCCAGGGCATTGAATTCCTCCGCCCTCTGAGAACGACAACCCCATTGGAGAAGGTCTACGACCTTGTGCGCTCCGTGGTGAGGTAAGATCAGATAAAAACTTTCCCCAGAGGCTGCCTGCCTGGAGAGCAGCTGCTGCCAGTGAGGGTTAATGTTTGCCCAATGTCTTGTTACAGGCCCTGGATAAAGGATCGCTTCATGGCCCCAGACATTGAAGCAGCTCACAGGCTGCTTGTGGAGCAGAAGGCGAGTACTGGCTTTTGGCTTGTGCATAGGATTGTCTAGAACCCTTTCTCTTTGTCCATGCCAACTGCTGTTTTTGCTGCCCAATCCTCTTCATGGTCAAGTAGTTTTGTAGCAAGTGGCAGTGACCCTCTCCCAACTATTGCACACAGAGCATTAGCCTGGTAACAAGACAAGACAAAGTATCGAAGTATTTTTGCCTTGAATCCTTTCACCTTGCCCCATTGGAGCTGTATCCTTTCTCACCCATTGTCCACTCCTTCCACATGCTCTTCCCTGCTCTATCTGCCTCTCTGGTTCTGCTCCTCCCAAACAGCATATCCCATCCAATAGCTTTTCCTCAGGGTTTCCTGAAGTCATGCATTGATGTCTTAGCTGACCTTTTCTTTGCCTCTGACTCTGCTGTTTCACATCCTTGTTCCGCAGGTGTGGGAAGTGGCTAAACCTTACATTGAAAAGTACAGGAGGGAACACATCCCTGAATCAAGACCCATTTCTCCTACAGCCTTCTCCCTGGGATTGCTGAGAATGAGTGCAGATGATAGTCATGACCACAAGCATCAGAATGAACTTTAAGAGTTGTGATCCCCTGGAAGAGAGCAGATCCTTTCCAGAACCTTACCTGAGCATGGCCCTTCTACTCAAACTCAATGTGGTTTCTCCAGGTGACCTAGAGGACCTGACTGTCTAGCTCAGAAGCACAAATAGATAGTAAAGAGAAGTCTCACTGCTTTCCTCATGTGTAAAAGACAATTTTGTTATGATAGTATGGTTTTGACTGAATTTCATGAACTTCTGAATACAAATCATTCAGACTCCTGATGAAAGCAGTATTTGTTTTGTCAACATTTTGTTTGTTTTCTCTCCATGTGTGCCAATGATACCAAACAACCTATGTTTGATATTCTTACCTTTTTTCTCCCCCTTTGGGTAACTGCTGTGATCCTCTTAATTTTGTAACAAGCAAGATTATCTGTACACTGTTCTCTGTTTTGCAGATCATATGTGAGGTATAGGCTCTTGTATAACAAGAGCAATTTTAGAGCAGGTGCTTCACAAATCAGGAAAGCTGTGTGCATAGGAATGTGCTATGGAGATCATTGCTCCAGAACAAATATATTATATTCTGGTGATGGAGTACATTTAATGCAGCTTTCCAAGATCTGTGGGCTCACACCTGCAATCAATAAACTGAGTCTTCACATAGGGTTGTAGCAATTTATTTTCCTGTCATGTTTGTGATGATGAAAATGTAAAGAGAAAGCTTCATTTGGAAGTAAGCAGAACAGGTGACACAGAGCCCAGAAAAGGGAAAAGAGGAGGCATAGGACTAGTGAATGCAAACCAATGCTGAGGTGATAGCACCATGACCTATGCTCCCACGGCTCTCCAGGTCTCTCCAGGCCTGTCTGCCAGGGGCCCTGACCCCATAGATGGGATCATGACTGAGTGTGCTCTGTGTCCGACAACACTGACCTCCAGCACAGGCTTTATTTTGCAAGGGAAGTGTCAGGGCATGGATTTCACCTCATGGTGCAGTGATGACAGGGCAGTACTGATCTGGCAGAGGGGCATTCAGAACAAGCTGAAAGCCCCCCCAGGCTATTGGCTATGCTGCAAGGCACAGCCAAAGCATCAGTCTGGGGCTGCCTTTGAGTGTCTGACACCCGCCACAGTAAACTGTGCCCTGAGGAGAGTGCTCATGCCTGCTGGCAGCCTAGCAAGTTGCCAAATGCCTTTGGCATTCAGCAAAGAGATTCTGGGCCTTGCTTCCCACTCACCTCTGCTTTTGGCTGCCTGGGACCAAGGGATCCTCAGCACACACTGCAGCACGGGGGACTCGGGTTTTGCACCATGCCTGTGCAGAGCTGAGAGACACCACCCTGCCTGCACCCTGCATTTAAGAAGTGTCTGTGATCCTTCCCTGACAGCCTTCCCAAATCCCTGTATAAACATTATTTATGAAGGCTGTCTTGAGCAGAACGGACTGTGCAATCACATACCTGGGATGTTCTTTCAAGCTTTATAAAAACTAAGTTCCACACCCACATCTGGTAAAACATCTGCTTGCAGGAAAACACGTCAGGTGGCAGGAATGCTATTACATGTTTTAAAAACTGATTTGGTTGGCTAGTCTGGATCAAATAAAGCATGAAGAAAGATAATACAGAGGATAACTTGCCGATTTGGTATGTTAACAGATGTGCCCAAGGCTCAGGGAGAGCAAAAGGTCACAATAATGCTCATACATGTTTGTGATGGCTTTCAAATAGTTGCTAATCAGAATGAGACCAATGTCCTTCCTCAAGGGTCTGGTTCAATAAAGCACTCTGCTCTGTATCACAGGTTATGTCACTTGCTCATATCAATAATTACTTTTGATATGAAATTCTTCATGCTTGTCAGGTGCAATTTTATGACTTCACCTTCAGAAAGTAAATCTCTTACTTCTGCAGACATCATCCACTTGAAAATTTGAAGAAAATACTTAGTCCATGGGTATTCAGAGACTCTCCTACTCCATATCCTCTGCTTAAAAGCTTAAATTCTCCAGAGCTGTATAATCCTTTTTTCTACATACTGCATTCCTAAATGATGTTACAAGCTTGAAAGATAAATGAAAGAGTGCCTTTAAAAAGTTAGGCTCCTAAGTTTCAACACATCCTTCAGTAAAAGTTATCATACTTAACTTACCAAAATTACATTCAAACTTCCACAAACAAATAAGTCTAATGTTATTTCAGATTCAGCCTAGAATAAATAAAATTAGGTATTTTCTGCAACATCCATATGACACTGGATGTGATCTTCTCCCAACATAGCCAAGGACCATCCCAAATGTGCATGCCTGAGCCCCTGGCCCTCTGTCACAGGTTACTTATCACACTCCCCAGTAAATCTTACCTGGATCCAGTCTCTGTTTATTCATTGCCAGGTTGTTTGGGTTGTTTTCAAATATTATAATATTATAGATTAATTTTATAGGAAAACATTTTTGGAAACTGTCTTATTTAAGATGAATACAATTAGAAATTATTTTATTCTGCTGGAAAGAAGGACAATGGACATGGAAATGCACCAAATGGGTAATGCTTGGTAAGGTTTATTTGAATAAGAGTAAGGTGAGCAGACAAACAATTTACCAGTAAATACTAATCTGATTCATCTGTTGCTTTGCAATATTCCATGCTGATTTGATTTTAGTAGCTCACTAAACTACTGCCTTCTCTCAGTAACTGCTCATTGTCTCACACCTCCCATTTTCATAGATGACTTTTCCTTTAACTATAACATAGTTGATCAATGCTTCATGTCCACCAAACTGGTAAATCAAGTGCTCCCACCTAAAAAGACAAGATGTTGAAGAATATGTAAACTTGCATAAGAGCAGGTCACATGCCCAGCATACCTGGTAATTTTATAAGACTTGCTTGAAAATGGGAAAACACTATTCCATGTCTACATGTTGTCTCTTGCTGCATGAATACAGTGAATCTATCAGTAAACAAATTATGCCACAAAATAAACGCATCTGATCTCTAGGTAATTTGTAGTTAGGCATGGATTACTTGTAATAACAGCCCCAAAAGTCTAAGGCTTTATTTTCCACTGGAGTAATTATGATGCTACCAGTGTCCCTTTATTCAGCGAAGGTAACTAAGGTTAAAGCACATTTCATATGCCAATGGAAGAACAAACCTTGATGAATTTATGATAAGAAGATCCCCTTGCTTGCCGACCTCCAAGGAGCCATGTGTGTCTGATTTGCCCAGAGCATAAGCTGCATTAATGGTGGCAGCTGCCAGTGCTTCATTCATTGACATCTTCATGTTTACACAGGCCAGATGCATCACCATAGGCTAAAGGCAAGGAAAGGGACAATGGGAGTTACCAGGAACACAAAGCTATTTATACTTCAAATCCCTAAGCACTCTCCTTCTTCATTGCACAACATAAATTTTGCCAAATCCAAACAAGAACTCTAAAATCAGTAGCTTTGAGAACATTTTGAATAGGCCTCTCAGTCCATATGAAGGATGAAATCCATTCTGGTTCCAAGAATTTCTGGCAAAAACTACCAATACACAGAAGCAAATACAGACAGCTGTCTACATTGGGCATGAAGCTCTCCTTATGCACATGAAACCAGTTTGAAGTGTGCAAGACCTACACACAAGCTGTACTAGTAAGAAATTTCATAATTCTATGGTTTCAATATTAGAATTTTCTTACCATTGAAAAACAGTATGCATTAGGATTAAAGTCACTGCCAAGAGCAACTATAACACCTTCTTCCAACATTTTTCTAGCTTGAGGTTGCTTCAGTCTAGTGGGAAAAATAAACTTATCAGTACAATTTGCTTAGTTATCATACAATGATTTACAAGGGCAAAAGTCATCACTCAGTTTGGTTACATTCATACATTCAGTTACATTGATCCTAACGGAGATGAGAGCTCAAATTTTCCTCTTGCATCCCTACCTGTCACCCTATGGACAACATAAATGGGAAGTGTGAGCCACAGCTTTTGCAGTAACTGCATGTGGCACCAGCCAGTATCAACCATCAGGCTCCAGACCACTGAAATTCTGGTATTTACCCAGACTTCAGCCACTTAAGAATTTACAAGATGAAAATCTTAATTTCTGAAAAAAACTAATTTTCTAGTTCTTACAGCTTCAAAGACAGGCTCCAAAATATGAGCAGTGGCACATGCAATGCAATAGACCCTTCCAGATTTTTGAGTCTGTGAATTTAGTCTGCATACATTAGAGATCTTTCCACTTAGTAATTATAATGCAAAAGATGTTTTCAGTAACTTCAATATCTGGAATAGCCATTTCAAAATTGTTCAGCTCTTGGATTAATCTGTGTAGGTGTTTGCAGGGTGGGTACTTGAAGTACACTCTCTAGGAAGTTTTAGCCATAGTTGCCATCAAGCCACTCCTAATCTACTGTGAGATTACTCAGCAATCTCACAGATTTTTGAAGATTTCCAGCAGAAATAAGACATAAGGAGGGAGGCTCATTCAGTTCTCAGTACATGTGATTGCCTTCACTCACCCAGACTGATCCTTAAGGCATTTTAGATGATTTTAGATAAAAAGACCCTCAAACCACACACATGGATTTGCAGTTACAGAAGTTTCCCCTCAACCTAGTGGCTTTACCTTAGCATGTAGGCTGTTGTTGGCAGAAGGACAGCAGCACACTTGGCTCTTGCCATTGCCACAATACCTTCATCACTAACTTCTTCCAGGTGGCTGATGGCCCGGGCTCCTAGTTCAGCTCCAAGCTAAAGAAAATTTCAAACAAATCACTCACTATTCTCAATTAATTCAGTTTAAAAAGTTGTTTCTAAACAACTGGAAGAGACAATTCATTATTAATGCAAAATATACAAGAAGAGAAATAGTAAAGAATGCTTGAAAGAGCAATCAGAATACAGAGACAAAATATTTGTTAATTTACTGCAGAAAAGTTGAGCGCTTTATCCACACACGGAGCAGAAGCACATCTTCAGTGGTGTTTTTACCAGCCTAACACACAAACTATGTGAGAGCCATGGATGAAAACATTATCAACTCCTGTTCATAAAGAATCCATCAGAAAATAGTTCACAAACTGAATACTGCTTTCAATGGGGAAGTCAAATAGGCTTTTATGATCAACCAAGTTTTTGGTTTTATTTTGTTGGGTTTTTTTATATACAGCTTGGGCAGACCCCACAGGAAGGAAGCAATATTTAAATGATGGTGAAATATGGTATCAAAGGGACTTTCTTTATCAAGATATTTGGGAACCTAGTCTTGACTAAACCACCTCTCTGAGTGTGCTCAGATAAACTGACATCTGAGTAATGAGACCGCTGAGTGTGCTCATTGCAATTTGGCTTGTTGCTTCTAACAGGACACTTAACAAAAAAATATTTTTCAAATTGCATAGAAACCATGTTTTTGTCATTCCTGGGTGCATGGATATCCACCTTCCCGATCTGTATCCCATGTGGAAGATAAGCAAAGTCAATGTTTGATGAGCCAGTGCACATTAGGCCCAGAGGCCAAGGCTTCCTCCCATGTCCTTACCCCCAAAGCTGCACATGGACCGCTCTTCCTGGCACTGATACTCTTCCTGTTTCTGATAGAAACAGGTCTATTTCATAAAGTCTTAGAAAAGACAATCCCAGTTTTGAAAACTGCAATTATTTCACAGATTGGGCTCTCACAGGAGCAAAAATGAATGTTAAGAAAGACGTACCTCAGCAGATTTCATTGGATGCAGTTCATCACCATGGAAGTTAATCTGTAACCCTATATCTTTTCCAGCTTGAAGTATTCTCCTTGTAGACTCCAGATCAAAGACTCCCTTCTCACAGAACACATCTATATTGTTAACATGTATTTCACCACTTAGTTTGAGTTCTTTCAGTTTAGGAAGGTGGTTATTGATAATGTCATCTGTGGCTTCAGTAGCAGTTTTCCCTCTAACGAAAAGAAAATGTTACAGAGCCATATGAGCAACATCCTTGAAGTCTGGCACACACTCAAGCCATACATGCAATTACTGAATTACTATGGAAATTATGTAAATATGAATCCCTCAAAAAACCTTCAAATTAAAAAATTAAGCCCCCTTATGTATTCCCCAACATGAGTTACTTTCCATTCAAAGAATATTAGATTGTATTAATGAATGCTTTTAATAAGGTTGGCATCTTGGATGCTAGCCAAGATACAGGATGCTTTAAAATAAATTTTTTTTGCTTTCCTATTCATATATTCTGACCTCTTTATACTGTAGTCTAAAATAGAACTATTTAATATATGTAAATGAGCATTTAAATATGTTAAATAGTATTCATAAAATATTTTTATGCAAGTATCAAAGCTCAAAGGGGATATGCAGTATAAGTCATTATTTTTAATTTACCTCTCCTCCTTTTAGACAATTTAGAGTGACAGAGGCTAATCAGAGGCACTTCCCAAGGTTTGATTTGTCAAAGTCAGAATCATTAATGAATCCTCTCTTACATAAAGATAACCCAGGAGAGATCACTAAATGCCTTTCAAAGAGCAAATAATCCCAAAATTTGCAGTTGACTTAACATTTTCCAATTTTAATATGTAAGGACAAGGGATGTGCAGCAGGTAAATGCCTGAGAATCTGAATAGTCATTTCAGGCATCATAAGGCACACAGACACTCCCACTATGGAGTGCCACATGAGGCTGAGTCAGGAGCCATGCAATGGAATAGATTCAAGAAGCCAAATTCTGCCTGAATTTATAAACAAGGTTATAAAGCAAAGCTCTTCTTCCATTCCCTTCTCACTGAAAC